CATATTGTTGAGAGGTTTTGCGTGTGTGTGAATTGCATATGTGTTCGAATTTTTGTTACCCATATTCAACCCAGCAACCACGGGAGCTGAAATTCTGCAAGGGTGTTTCTAGCTTGCTTGCCATCCAATCAGCTTAAAGTCAGTTTTCACGTACGTCTGTTAGTCACATATGGACGTCTTAAAGAATTCATGCAGATTTGTGGTGGGGAAGTTGTTTGGGAAGCAGAGCAGTTGGGAAGCTGAAATTTCACAGGGATGTTTTACGTGCTTGTATGAGCTAAAAATTCCAGATTGAGCTTTAACGCACGTTTACGTCATGTGTGCGGGTAAGTCAAAGTTGAGATTTCGTTATCGCTCGCGAAATGCCATTTCGGCAACTGAGCTGAATAAGGCGCTCATTAGGAAAATATTTGTTGTCTACAGCGGGCATATACGCGTAAAATAAGCTTTGGCTAGCACCTGTGTGGCACACTTAGGCCATCACTTCGCTACTTTAAAGCACATCTAGATCTCGCGCGCGCGCAAGTAAAAGTTTAATTTGGGGCATCATTAGCACCCAATTAACTTGGTAACCAGACTGAGCAGGAAGCAGTATTTTTCTGAAGATTTTTTGCTTTTCGTGTGAGAGCTATAAATACATATAATGAGCTTCTGTCTAGGCACGGGCCCTGCTTATATGCGCATCAAATTTACGACTTGTAACACCGCAGTCACAGCCAGTAGTGAAGGCGATCTCTTTGTAGGATCTAGCCATACAAAAAGGACTGTCGTATGGCAAGCCTAGTGTGTCACTACCTAAGCTGTACTTGCATAAATGGGCAAAGCGCATAATCACTGAAAATTTATTTTGAGCCCCACACAATTAGGAAAATGCATTTTCGCCAATGCTTTGCTAACGTGGAATTCTGAATGACCAGTTGAAACGAAAGCCATTGTCTTTCACATGACTACAAGTTTTTTTCAGGTCGCAAACTTTGCCGCTCTTCTTGTAAACATTGCGACAGTATCCTTATACTTCATCTATCCACCGCTTACTTGGCGAGTTCCTATCATTGGTGTTGGCCCACAACAGAAGAAGAAAGAATAGCCAGTCATTTTTATTTTTATTGCTTTTGCAATTTTTTGTTGTTTGCATGAATTCAGCTTTAGTTTAGCGTACTGGTACGTTGTCAGAAATCTTTTCAGATTTTTACATCTTAGTAATTTTCAGACTTTTAAAGCGGAAACACGGTCATGTTTACCACTTGTTTTAAAACGCTGTAAAGAATTGTAAGGAACAAACATTCGCAAGGCGCTGTCGTTGAACTTCTGGTGTTGGCCCTTCTTGTCTGTGCTTTTTCCGGTTTCTTCAGATCTAATATTTTTGCGCTGTTTTAACATTTTCGTTAAAACGCAAACTAGCGCTTCACTTCTCCGTTACATTTGATAATTCCTTGACGAATTTTTTGCATTTTACTGAACTTTTCTAACTTTTTTACTCAGCTAATATTAGCGCTTCCTAGGGTAGAAAAGGAGGGGGCGGGGAGTAGGGGGAAGCAAGTCAGAGGCATCATTTCCCGAACATGTCAACGCTACGAGCCTGTAAATCTCGACTTATGTAGCATAGCGCCGTAACTATTATATACAGGTGATGTCCTCTTTTAACAGGAAATAATGTGTGACTGCAAATGTTTGGTAATCGAAAAGACTGCAGCTGTTCAACATAAAAAGGAATTATTTTTACAATGCTGCGTTCCCGCATGTTATGCAAATGTAACCCAGGCTGGAGAGCACTAGACTTGCCGGCTTTATCAGACTTTTTTTACACTGCTTGAAGTAGTCAGGTCTTTAACAGCAAACATGGTTTTTGCGTTGAGATTTAATACGACAACTCATGTTGGTTGTGTTTTGGCTTTTTCGTGCATACGGGGGAAACGCCCGTCTGATGGGATGGTAGCGTTACATCATGACACCGCGTGAACTTCCAGTGTACATGATTTTTATGCGTTTTTCCTGTGCAGCGTTACAGCGCTGTTACAACCAGCAAAAACGCATATTGTCGATAGGCTGTCTGTGTGTGTGTGTGTGCGTGTGTGTGTGTGCGTGTGTGTGTGTGTATGTGTGTGTGTGTGTGTGTGTGTGTATCACCCGCTTT